CTCTCTCTCTCTCTCTCTCTCTCTCTCTCTCTCTCTCTCTCTCTCTATATATATATATATATATATATGTATATGTAATTCAGACTTTTTTAATACTTCTCCTCAAAGAACACTGCTCTGTATGAGTCAGACATATCCTAGCTATGACACACCAGATTTAGATTCCCAGCATACACTTAATAACCATTATTCAATTAAGATGAAGCATGCTATAATAAGAAAACATTTAAAACATCCAGGAAAGTGTGTCTTTGCCCTCGATGGTACAAACAACCTACTTCAATAAGACTCTAACTCCATCTACTGGTCACACACAGTGAGGTAGCTTAGAATATAATATGTAGAACAGTATAGATTATATTAAATCCCTCAGAAACCTTATTTTATTGCACTTTGAAAGAACTGGAAAAAGTTATATAAAAGCTACCTTGTAAGATGCAAGAATATTAAGACAAGATAAATTAACAATGCACATTTGTTCAAAGAGAAAAATGTGCATAATAAATAAAACTGATGGCATGTAGAGACTGTGGAGGAGGAGGAACCAAAATAACAAATCAAAACAGGTTGCCATAAGCATGGGAAACACAATATTCTAATAGAAACTAAAGCATTAGTCCAGGTTAAAACTACTGTTGTAGTTTAGAAGTTTGTAGTAACTAGTTACATTTAAGATACTGTGCTCATAGGAGTAATTTTACAACAGTATACTCTTTACTTTTACCTGAGTAGAAATTTGATGAAATATCACTACTCTTACTTGAGTAGTATTTTTGGCTACTCCATTGTGAGTAAATTCACTTCATGAAAACAATCTTGTTTAAAACAGATATGCACAACTGAGAGACACACTTTCTTCTTTTCTGACTTTTTTTTTTTTACTTAAGGCTTATTGTTTAAATGTTATTTTCCATCTGATGAGTATCAGTTGGATTTATAATTTAAAAAACGTTTTTAATCACATTCTTTGAAGCCCCAGAATTTGCATACAACTTACTATTTCTTAAAATTGTGCATTATTTTGTGAAATATTAAATTAGTTGTTATTATCATGGGTAGTAAGTAGATCAGTAACCCTTTTTACTCATACTTGAGTTATATCTTTAAAGGCTCCTTTTTTAGTTTTACTTGAGTAAATATATGATGAAGTAGTACTACTCTTAATTATTAAATTTTTGGGTACTCCACCCAACATCCAAATATCATTTCACTACCTCTGAGCCAAAACCATAATGCAAGATCCAGATCTGATACGGTTTTATTAGAAATACTCGGATTATTCCCTTGTAGTAAGATGTCTGGGTAAGTTTAAAATCATAAAACAGTGGAAATAATCAGTTCTACATTTGAAAAATGGACCAGAGATAGATAAATGATGTACTCTTGGAAAAGGGAGGTTATCTAGAAAAAACAGTGCTCCAGTTTACCAATCCAAACATGTGCAGTTAAACATTAAACTATGCAAAACAAATTCAAATAAAAGTTAAACACATGAATTAAAAATCAACCTGTGCTTCCACAACAGTTAAAGTGGTTTGTAAGACCTGAATGGCACTTGATTTTTAGCAAAATGAAAATCTATCTTCCTATTAGCTTTGATCATATATATATATACGGGGAAATTTAAGTGTCAACATAAGTGTGGAGGATGCTTGAGGACCCATATGCAGAGATGATTTAAGCAGAGATGAGTTCTTGTTGGTTTAATGAAAAAAAATGAGGCAGACATCCAAAAACACAAAATACAAAGAACCGAAAAAACAGAAAAGATGGGGGAAAACCTACATGGGAAGCACGAGAAAGCAACTAAAGACAACAACAAGGAACCACCCAATAGCAACTGAACATGAGGTGTGTAAATGGGACTCTGACCAAAGACCAGGCTAATCAGCAGATTGGGTGCAGGTGTGGACAGAGGAGTCTAGAAAGGAGCAAGGGAAAAAGATACTTACACAAGAGGGCAACAGAGGGCAAACAATACTATCCATTCATCATCACTATTATCCCAAGCAGGGTCACGAGGGGTACTGGTGCCTATCTCCAGCTGTCTGTAGGCGAGAGGCAGGGTACACCCTGGCCAGGTCACCAGTCCATCGCAGAGTAACACAGAGACAAACAGGACAAACAACCACACACACTCACACCTAAGAAGAATTTATAGAAGCCAATTAACCTAACAGTCATGTTTCTGGACTGGCAAGAAGCTGGAGTACCCGGAGAGAACCTACACATGCACAGGGAGAACATGCAAACTCCATGCAGAGTGCTACCCACTGCTCCACTGGGCAGCCCACAAACAATACCTAAGAACTCAATTACAATAAAAAAAAAACTACTAGAATATCACAAATGGAAATGAAACAGACAAACTAGAGAACACAGAAAAAACAGGAATCAAAGTATAACCGAAAACTCAAAAAAGAAAACTTAAACGGAACCAAAAAGTGCATACATCACATTTTGGCAACAATTTAAGTATCTAATACTTTTAAACTTATACAATTAGAAAAACAAATATTCTAGAAATGTAATTTTATCAACACTTCATGTTAAAAAATACATATATTTTACACACTGTGACATGACATCTTTTTCAGACATCCATAGCTGAAACAGTCACTCCCTACTGTGCAGGAATTTTAACAAGCAGGACTCCAGTTGATGAAGTGAACCTGACATCAATACTATGTTCATTCAAGTGAAAAAAGGTGAAAATGAGCTAATGAAGTAGCTTCTGTGTTCTTTCCTGAGCTGAGCTGTTCTGAGGCTCCTGCAGAAAATCTGAACTGTATTTAGAGAAATAAGAGAAATATGGTCTATGAATGAATTCGACTTTTTTGCACTTGGACTAACAAAACACGTCAAGGGCGCAAGATGAAACAAAATCCCAGTGTGATAATGTTGAAGAATTGGCTCTCCTGCTGTTTGTGCAGCTGCTTCAACGCCACCCTGACCTTATCAGAGCCCAAAAGCCTTCAGACACACCAACGCACACACGTGCAGAAAAAAACCAAAAACATCACAGTACAGAAAAGTGTCAAGTGCTTAAACTGGTTTAATCACTTGCTAAAGCTTTGGAAGAGTGCTGGCTTTGTTTCCTGCATGCTGGGCGGGTGAGAAAAGGGCCAATGAGGGAAGAAGTGATTGCTACAACCAGGGGGGGAAAGTGGAACAAGTTCTGGCCTGTGTGGTGTTCTCGCAACACAGTTTCTAGACACATTTGCTTGGTGACCTACAGACGCACAAAAAAATGGAGAGGACACAGATAAAGAAAGTGCAAGATAACAGGAAGACGGAGGAGGATGTGGTGCGCCTTCGGAGGGAGATTGGGCTGCTGCCTGCTGTGTCCTTCATCATTGGTACCGTGGTTGGCAGTGGGATCTTTATCGCTCCAAAGGGAGTGTTGATGAACAGTGGCAGCGTGGGGCTGTCTCTGCTGGTCTGGGCCCTCTGTGGCATCCTCTCCTTGTTTGGTAAGTTTCAGGATAATCTGTCCTTAGATCTAAGGTATCAAAATGTGACATTTTATTCAGAAAATAGAACACAGTGTTTTTTTCTGCTAAATAAGAGAGAAACCAGTAGTATTGCTATCATCACAGTTTAAAGTCAGGTTCTGTTGCATCCCCACTGCATGAAGAACGGTTTGTTGGGATTGATGAGACACATTTACTCCATTAAAATTTGTTCTAATTTATTCCATAAAACACTTTCTTTGGTTTGATGTGATGCTACGTGCCTCACTACAGACTGTTTATAACCTTTTGGAAGTAATTCTTTAAATGTTTTTTTGCTTTTTTAATGTTTATTTAAATCTATTCAGAAAATTTAAACATTGAAGAAGAAAAACAAACAGAACAAAGCACTAAAACACACATTTTCCTTTTTCATTTTAGTTAGAAGTTTAAAAGTGAAGGAAGCTGGATAAGAATTACATTCAAATTTAAAAAAAATGTTAAAAAAATATATATATAATGTTTTCTTTAGTTATTAAGTAAAGAAAGTTATTTCTATTTAAACTGTTCCGAATATATATACACTTACTATACATAACTATTCATAATCAGTTATGCTTGTGTGTCCCTTGTCATTGTACGTTTGTATTTATTTTACACAGTGTCAATGTTTGAAGCAATTGAATTTATCTGTATTTTACCTTTTTATTCATTTTTTAGAAGGGAAAAAAAAGATAGACAAGCAAATTGCAGAAAAAAAATCAAAGGTTCTTTTAGCTCTTAAAAATGAAAAGAATTACCTTGCAATGTAAACAATGTTTAGACAAAGGCTAGTTTCAGCAAAAATAAGCATTTCGATCTTTTTTTCAATAGAAACTGAACCATTCCTCTTTTTTTTCTCTCTCTCTCAGGCGCCTTATGTTATGCTGAACTAGGAACCAGTTTCACAAAATCCGGGGGTCATTACACTTATCTGCTAGAGACGCTGGGGCCCCTACCCGCATTCCTACGACTCTGGGTTGAGTTCTTATTTATAAGGTTCTATTATTTTTCTTTCTTTTTTTCTTTGGAAGTCTAATCAAATAAAAATAATAGAATCCTATTGGAAAGAGTTAAAGTGTAACTTTTCTTTTTTCAGACCAGCTGTGGCGTCTTATGTCTCTCTGGCTTTTGGACGCTATGTTGTTGAACCTTTCTTTGCGCCTTGTCCCGCCCCTATGGCTCTAATCAAACTCGTCAGTATCCTCGGAGTGAGTGAGTGGTTTTCCACGCCTTTTTTTTTTTCTAGTTTATATAAGAGTAATGTTTCCCATACAGTAGATGCATAATTTGTGATTTGTGTCTTTCCAGCATTTGTTGTGGCAGTTAACTGTTGGAGCGTAAGCCTGGCCTCCCGCACGCAGGTTACCTTGACCTTTATTAAGATGTTTGCATTGGTCCTCATAATTGTTCCTGGGGTCATAGCACTGGCCAAAGGTATGATGATGTAGGCGCTATTGTTTGATAAAAAGGTTGAGTTTCTGACAACTTCCTAATTTTTTTGACCCACCTTTACAGGTAAAACAGAAAACTTCCAGAATGGATTTGAGTTGGACTCCATAACCCTGGACAGGCTGCCATTGGCCTTCTATAACGGTTTATATGCATATGGTGGATGGTAAGTGAAGACTATTTACCAGCCCTTTAAGAGCGTGTTTGTATATATACTACTTCAGCGATAGTATCTAGGTGTTTCTTTATTGTATGTCTAATACCATATCTGTTGGTTGTGCTGTTCTTTTTACATCTCTTTGCAGGTGATGAAGCAGACTGAAAATGTTTTATCATTGTCTCCCTTTTATCTACTCTTTTTTTAATCTTTTTTCCTTTTTTTTTTTGGTTTTCCTTTCCTGTTCTACTAAAATTGCAGTGTCCATATAATCTGAAAAACTCCCTGCATAATTACGGTATAATAAAGCAATTTATATGCATAAAACAAGCAGAACATTATGCAATAGCCCTACTGCTCCACTTGTGAAAGTAAAATCTGTTGGTCTCTTTTTTTGGCATCAAGACAATTATTCTTATTGCCACATCGCCAGACAGGACACTGTAAAAAAATAAATAAAGAAAGAAATAAGAGCGTCTTTGTACAAATGGAACTTTTTCATATTTTGTCAAGGTATAAACACAAATAATGATTTTATTTTATACATAACAATGAAGTGGACGGATTCTTGTGTTCAAATCACTTTTATAGTTAAAAATGAGAAAATGTTGTTGTTTGTTTATACCCAGCCTGCCATAGCCAGTAACTTTGTTAAAACACCATTTACAGAAATTACAGCTGCAAGTCTTTTCAATTCAATTCATTTCAAAAAATACTTTATTAATCACAAAGGAAAATTAAAAGCTGTAGTACAAATAGTTATTTTAGAGAAAATATTTACCAGTTTTGCACTTCTGCAGATATTTACACCATTCTTCTTAGTAAAACCTTTTTAGCTCAGTCACATTAGATTGATGACATCTCCGTATATGAATTTCAAACTTTTCCTACAGATTCTAATTTCATTTAAAATCTGCATTTTTATCCCAATCTTTCCACTGTAGCATCTGGCTTTATGTTTCAGTTATTTTCCCGCTACATGGTAAAACAAACCTCTGCGAATAAAACCCTTTTGCAGCCTATATATGTCATTAAATTATTTCTTTTCTTTTTTTTTTTTACTGGTTTGAATAAAATAAATGTATTAATTATTTAATTAATTTATTATCTCAAAGAATTTTCTTTACTCAATTATTCTGTTTATTTTCCAATTAATTTTCTCCTGTAATGTTAAGGGGGAAAAAAATCAAAACAACACCAGCACTGAGTTTCAACAAGCAGAAATTGTAAAAAGGATTAATCTTAACCATATTTTGCAAAGTTAAAGAGTTAAAACCAGAATCTTTCATAAGTTTTCTAATTCCCTAAGTGCATAAGAAGTTGATTCTTTCAGCGATGGCTTTCTTCTTCCCCTTTAAAGGTTTTTGGAGGTTAACACTAATAAAAAAAAAAACTGCAATTTGATTTTATGTTGGGCTTTCAAAGTAAAGTGGACTGAATACAAACACAAAATGCTTTTCAATGTTTTTATGTAAAAAAAAAAAAATATATATATATATATATATTTTCCTTATACTTGTGCTCTACGTTGTCATTGCTGATTTGTGACGAATGTGAAATGTATACTAGTATATGCACAGTATAGTATTATATCTTTGTGTTACCTACCTGTGTACAAGTTTCTTCTTCTTCTCTTAGGTTTTATCTGAACTTCGTCACAGAAGAAGTAATAAACCCAAATAGGTACATGGTTTAGGTTTGTGCTTAAAATTTGCCTGAATTTTAATGTTTTTTTTTCTACTCTGATTGTGAATCCTATACTTTCAGAAACATCCCTTTGGCAATAATCTTCTCCATGGTGACGGTGACAGTGTTTTACGTACTTGTGAATGTGGCCTACTACACCATGATGACACCCGCTGAGCTGCTGCTGTCTGATGCAGTGGCTGTGGTCAGTAGAGAAGAACATGTTTCACGGGGAAGGAATGTAGAGGGAATCTGGTGAAACAGCTGAGCTCTGATATAAGGTTGTCTTTCTGCAGACATTTGCAAACCGCGCTCTTCAAGGGGTTTCCTCTGTAATTCCTGTTCTGGTTGCTTTGTCTTGCCTTGGAGCTCTTAATGGCGGCTTCTTCGGGTCACCCAGGTATTTTGAGAACAAAATATTTGAGTTTCTCTCTGTGCAACATGAACTTCTGAGGTATCTGGTTGCAGGATGTTATTTGTTGGTGCCAGAGAGGGCCACTGGCCACCAATCTTCTCAATGATACATATCCGACGACACACTCCTTTACCTGCTGTACTGTTCTTGGTAGGTACTACAAAAGAAAAAGAAAACATTAACTAAAGGTTTAACAACAGTAGGCAGTAATCTTCTAACTTCTGTCATATACAAACTGGAATAAGCACTTTTCTAAGCTACTGGTTCTTATGAGGTAACCTGCTCACAATGTCAGATTTATAGTGTTGCAAACATTGTTTGTGACAACATTAATTACTTTTCCTAATTAAAATATTCAGAGTTCTTACTCCATTATGCTAATTTTAAAATATAGAAGAGACCATTTCAAACTAGATTATGACAGATATTTTTACAATGTAGAGGCTTTAAATATGGAACCTGCAGTTGGACATGAAGGTAGGGAGAGTAAGATAGGTAGAGAACAAAAAGGAAGAGACAAAAAATGTTGGATGGAAAGAGTTTAAGAAAGAAAAACAATGCTTTACAAACTTTTCCTTCTTTTTCAGGACATAAAAAGTTCTGATTTATCCACTATTAACTATAAAACTTGCTAATCTTTTTTATGTCTCATTTTCTAAAAATGTTATGATTCTTCTCATTCTTTGAATATACTTTAATTTACACGCTCTACCTTTACATTGTTTTTTAATGATATACTCTCCCATCTTAAATTGTATTTCTGCATGCAAATTTAGTCTTTCTACTTCTAATATTCCTCATATGCTTAAACAGGTTCATTTTTCAGTTTTTTCTTAAATAAAGCTGTTCTCTTCTTTTATATCTGTGTTTAGTGGACAAAGACAGACAGATTCTCACTACTTTGATGTCCATGTCTGATTAAGAAAATGCCATTGATATGCATGCTTCATCACATGAGCTGCACACCCAGGAAACAGCAGTTAAGACTGTGAATCACCGTTAGATGTAGTATTCTTATCCGGGATTAGCAGTCGTCTCCTGCGGAGTCAAACACTGCTACATTGAGCTTGCAATACCTATTTTAAATTTCTTTTTAAAAAGATATAAAAGGTGCAGAAATTGAGGTTGTTACCATTATTTGAAGCTTGGCTGAAAATCTAATGATTTATAGCAGCTATCACTTTGCAGGTGAAAAGCCTTTTCAATTAAACACTCATTTTTCAAGCAGAGTCTCTCCCTAAAAGGCCTTGAATGTTTAACTTTTTGTTTGTTTTTCTGAAAAAAATACAGGCTAAAGATGTAAAATAATCACTCAAATCTGTTTTGAGTTATTTTAATAGAGGAATAAACGAATAATTCTTTAACAAAAAGTCAACTTTGCTGTCAGAGATTAAGAAGTTCCCAGAACACATGGAAGGAAAACGCTCAGGAATCCTTTCCCAAAGAGTAAGCCTGTGATGAAAGCTGTATTGTGTTTGCCTCCAGTACCCATTGGTGGTGGTGATGTTAATCACAGGGGAAATCTACCAACTCATCAACTTCGCATCTTTTTCTCGCTGGTTCTTTATCGCCTTGGCAACCTTGGGCATGCTCATCCATCGATACCGCTTCCCCCACCACCCAAGACCCTTCAAGGTTAGTGTTTTTCTGCACCCTTTTTTTTTTTTACCTTACAGTCATTTTTAAATCTCTCCTTCCTGTTGATGCGTTTAAAGGTCCCTTTGGCCATAGCGGTCACCTTCACAGTGGTTTGTTTCTTCATCGTGGGCCTTTCACTTTACTCGGACCCCTGGAACACAGGACGAAGCTGTGCCCTTACTCTAACAGGAGTGCCAGTTTACTATGTGACTATCCATCGCTTCTGGGTGCCCCGTAGATTAAGGAACATTTTCAGTAAGTCATGCCGTTTATTGTTTATATGATGCCACTAATTTATTTGCTTTATAAGAGTTTGCTTTATATTTAAGTATTTAATATCAAAGCTTGGTATAAAATGTCTCATCTTTCTTAATTTTTCTAGATTATTGCAGCAAGCAGCTTCAGATTCTACTGGAAGTGGCTCAACAAGAAGTCCAAACATACTGAAGATTGTTTTCCACAGACGATCCTCCTGTTTTTTAATCTGCTTAGAGTTTGAACTAAATAGTTGAAAACATAAAAAAGTATATATCTGAATTGCAAGTATATGCATTTAAAAATTCATTTGACCAGGAATAATAATTCTTCTGACTTTTCAGTCCCTTTTAGCAAAGTATAAATACAAAAATCTCTACAAACTGTAAGAGTTTTAAAAACTTAATGATAATTTACCACTTATTGAGGTTAGGGAACTTTTTCCAGGGTTCAGGATTCAACAAGAGGTGTCAAGTAACTTAGTATTACTACTCATTTGTTGTACTATTCCTGTATGTTTTAAATTGGGTATTTTTCTGTGCTATTTTTACACAAGTATCTTAGTTTTTACTCCTTACTTCCTCAATGCTGCCTTGTTAGCGCTATATTTGTATTGATAACATGATTTAGAAGGCTGCAACAAAACTGGTGGTGGGGTTAAAGGGCAATGAGAGTTGGAGCCGTTTGTTTGTAGAACATTGATAGCTACAGTACATGGAGGAAGGCTGGGAAAGATAACAGATGATCAGATTCTGAGACACATTTCATATTTATGCCTCCTTTATTAGATTGTAAATATACATGTTGATCATCTTCCGAATGCTT